GAGAAGAAAAGCGCTTAAAAATTAATTGAATTTTATTTAAAATGAAAAATGACTCTTTATTAATATTAATTATTTTAGCTAATAACAAAAAATTTTAATTGAATTTACAATTTTTGCTACTTTTTGAAGAAAAGGAAAGAGGTTCAAAATATAAAAAAAAGCGCATAAATTATATGCTTTGTTTCAAAGAAAACAAAGTATATAAAATCTGATTTCATTCTAGCTCATACTACTATCTTTCGATAGCATTAATATTTGAGTGATGATGCGTGAAGAATATTAATATTAGTTTTATTAAATTTTCTCATTAATATAACGTTGATGCATACCCTTTGAAAATTGTACAATAAAATTTTGTACCGTTTGTAAATATTAAAAAATTGTATTTCAGAGATAATTTTTAATCTGATAAAGTGTTGTCGAAAAATTATCCACTATTTTACTATTCCGCTAATCTTAATGTTTGGGAAACTTTTAATTTTCCCCAATTACCTATATAAGTGCAAAGTACGAATCTACAAGAAAAGAAGACTCATCATAACTGTAACACGCTGCCCTTCTTTCTCAGTCAAATTCGCCAAAAGCGTGTGACTGAGGGTGCAAAAAGAGATGGAAAAATATTACAGTGGGCTTGACAGCTCCTTAAATAAAACAGGAATTATTGATAATTAAAAACTCAATTTATACAGAATTCGTGAAATCTAAGACAATTTTATGAAAAATATTGCTAAAATCTTCAGAATAAACTTTTTCTGCTATTTTTATCCAAACGTATATTGGTCAGAATTCAAAACTTCAATGAGCTTTTAAAATAAAGCTTTTTTTGGTATTTCTTCTTAAATTTAGATTTTAAAGCACCTCAGATATGTCAGAACAATACAATTAAATGAAATGAAGTGGTAATATATAGTTATCTTTTCACTTAATGTAAAAAAAATTAGTTATAAATTACACTGATACTTTTTCTGTATTCTAATAGTTTTCGAAGAAAAAAATTGAAATTTTTGAAAACTCCATTCAAAATTTTAATCAGTTATATTTGATGATTTCTAGAGCTAAAGTATGTGGTGCATAAGTATTAAAATTTTTTTAATTGAGAAAAGTTTTATATTATTGGAAAAATTAGCATATGATCCTCATGTATATTACAATATATTAATAATTATTTTAATAAAATTATTTTATAATAAAATTACTTTACACTCAAATACATTTAATCTTAAAAAATTATATACAGTAAAAATAATACTTTGATTCCAATAATTATACAATTAATATTTTATAATAATATTAATTCTATTTTTGAAGATATTGAATAACAATTCTAATCCATAAGTTTTTTTTTCAATTAAATAAAAATTATTATGTAAACAAATTACATTTTGATAATAACTAAGTTGGTTTTGTAGTAATTTGATACTTGAGATTTTCTTCTACTCTGATATTATTTATAATCTGTATTACAACATGGCAGTATGTTTTACCTTAATAATTAAACTGGACCATATTACCGGGACCACATTATTATAGACTTATCAAGGGGCCCACAATGTGGCCTTTAGGTTATTATNGCCCTATAGGTTACTGTGTATATATATATATAATAATGTGTTGAATAGCGTTAAAATGAAAAAGAAGATCAATATTTAAAATTCTCACTTAAAATACAAATCTATGCCCCTTTTAATCACAGCAATTTTGAAACTTAAATATCCAATTCCTCACACTTCAGCTTAGAAAATTTCATTTCAAACAATAATAAAAAGTTCTAACCATAATTGTACATATATTTTCTCAATTATATATGATTAAAACTTTCGATTTTGATAAAAATTGACTTTCTAAAATCTCCAGCTTCATCTTCAATAACTAGAAAGCCTTATGACAAATAATCATTACAAGTTTAAAATGTTTTTATTTAAATTTGACTATTCTTATTTTGAATTGCGCCTTAGTGTTTCTCAATAATATTTGATGAAAATTTTCAATTTTGTTAAATAATTACTTTATAGTTCCTCACACCTCATTTTCAATAACTAGATAGTTTGAACAGTTATAACTCAGGGGATAGATCGCTCGCCACCCATTGAGGTGACCCAGGTTCGAATCCCAGCCGTGGCAGGTTGATACAAATTCTTTTCCCGGCTTGAACCCATCATAGAGCTGATGCAAATTATCCTCCGAGGCAGACGGATCATGGGCTAGAATCCCCTTGCTGTCGGGCTAACCGTGAGAGGTTTTCGTAATTTTACTCCTCATGTGACACGAATGCGAGTTAGTTCCATTAAAAGGTCCTCCATTAAGGCTAGTTTTTTTTAATGCAAGATCCAGGAGATCCTTTGTCTTCTGGGTTGGGTTCAAATTGGAAAGATACAGAAGTGAGCAGTGATAGACGTAAACAAGCTGGTTAAAAAATAAAATAAAACTAGATAGCTTAACGACAAATAGACATAATAAGTTTTAACTACTCCAATTTAAATAGGACTAGTTAATTATGCCTCGTGTTTTTTCTATAATATTTAATTTAAAAAAATTTAATTTTGTTTATATTTTACATTCGGATTTTCCACACCTCAGTTTAGATAACTTTTATTAAAGCAGAGTCATTACATATTATAACATCTTTTTTAAATGGGACTGTCAATTAAAACTCAACTTTTCTCCATAATAATTGATAAAAAAAATTGTAGATCTGTAGAAAACAGATAAAGAAATTCTCATAATGCTTATTAGTTGGAAATTAATTATAAAATTAAAATATACATTTAAGTTTTAGTTTCTCCAAACTCATATTTATACAAATGTCTTGAGTTTAAATAAAACTTTAACAGTAAATAGGCATTAAGACGCTTCATCATTCTCTTTAAGCGAGAAATTTTAAACTTAAATATTAATTACAACTACTTGTAAATAGACTAAATATTTAATGTACATTAACAATAGTGATTTTCTTAAAATGTTGAAAAAAATAAAGATATATTATTCAATTTAACAAGAAAATATATATTTCAAATAGTAGAATGAACTCGAAGTAATTAGTTCTTCTAAAAAATAACTCTAGACAATAGTAATTATCTACTAATATTAATAAGTAAAGTAATTTACTAGGCTAGACTTAAGAAAAAAATGAGCAAAAAAATCAAGTAATAAATGATTTGTTAAGAAAACAATTACATAGTCGAATATTGATTTAGAAACAAAAAATATTCACCTTAATTTTAAAACTTAAATTTCATTATAACTTTGTTTTCTAATATATAGTGTTTATTACCGTTCGGAAAGTAACGCTATATCTTTTATTATAGATATTTTCCTTTTATGAGTTTTTCAGAATTTCAACATCTGTAAAAGTGTGATACACAATCATATTTAAGATGAATTATATACAATCATATTTAAGTATACTAACGTTTATTTTATCTCTAACTCCAATTGCATATTAATTTCCTCCTTATGGTCAAATATACTATTATTTATTTTTAAAAAAATGAATTATTTGCATTTATGTTAGATAAAATTGTTCATATTACTTTAAATTATTTATATTATTGGAAATAGTTTTAATTTATTCATTCATTTACTTACCTTCATTACTCTTAGAAGTGATATCACACTCGAATCTTATTTATTAGAAAAAGCTATTAAACTTATTAAACAAATTTTAAAAAAAACGATTGTAAATTTTTTAATTTAATTTAAACATTTAGTAACTGAAAAATAAATTTTTTAATAACTTTATTTCATTTAGAAACTTTAAATATAATGTTTTATTTTAATTTTTTTTTCTGTTGTTGGCATCATTCCTACCGTTTTTATTCTCCCTACCTTTTTAAACTACAGTGGATATTTTTATAAGACATTCTCACAAATTCAAATTCTTTAATGTTAATATAGAGTTTAAATTATAAAGATTTCAAAACAATTTAACCAATTTAAAATTTTAATTAAGCATTTTTTAAAAGAGAACCATACTCCATTTCATTTTATTTTTCAGCTTCAAATAGAAAGTTTTAGGTATTTTTTTTAATGTGCTAATATCACTAATATCAATTGTGTGTACCCCCTCTTTGTTTCATCTTAATTAAAAAAAAATTTTTAAAAAATGTTTCTTAAATATAAAATTATATTTAAGAATTATGCTAGTAATTATATTAAGAATAATGAGCATTATGAAACATTTCTATAAATTTAATATACCTATTGCAAATTTTCAGTTCAATAAAGAATTTTGTAAAGAAAAAATTTATTATTTTTATTTTATTCAACAGCTTTTAATATGATTTTATTTCAATTTCTTTCTTTGCTTACTGTGTAGATTAATTCCTGCAAAAGTTTTATCAATTTAAAATATATCTAATTTTAAAATTACATTTAAATGATTTTTTTTAATAATCTTAAAATAAAAATATTTAATTTAAATTTAATTTGTTTAATGTTATCACTAATTCTGGAGTTACACATACCAATTATTTTTTGATTGCTAAAGCATTTATGGATAGTTTACACTGCTTAAAATAATTAATTCATATGTTTTACATAAACTAGAAAGTTTGTGTTTAAAAAGATTTCATTTTGTCTTTAAAGTGTAAATAAATAACTGAAAGTTTTTTAGAGCTCTAGAAATAGTTAAATTATTTTCCTATAAAATATCATTAAATGAGGTATTCAATATAAATATGATATCAGTTTCGATTTTTTTCGATAAATGTTCTATCCAAAAAAATATTTATTTATTTTCTCGGTGTATTATTTAACCAACAGTCAAGTGAAATCATTCACAAATATTGCCAAAACGAGAAGATTATGTTCTTAAAAAAATAATTAAATTTATTAATGAAACTTTAAATGGTCTAAATTTTCTTCCTTTTGCTCGTGATATTTGTTGAAAACTTTTTTTTTTCCATCTTAGTTATTTAATATTTTTCCCCCTCATGAACATAATTTAATTAAAATATCTTATTTTCAGAATGTAAAATAAATATTTTGAGTTAAATATTTGTTTTTGAGTTGAAGATGACAGGTTAAAATTTTATGAAACAAGAATGGAGTCGACAAAGGAGGGGTATAAAACTGTACCTGTTTGCGGTTCCAATGGAGTAGGGTGGGTAAGAGAGGGGTCCTTTAGAAAGTTGTTGCCACCCCTCGCCGTTGAAAAAGGGGGCGCCACTGGGACCAACGGGCAAGCACTGTATAGTGCGTGCATGCGAGCGGTACCTCACAAGCAATGGTTTAGTAGTAGTGTTGGGTGCTTGCAAAACGGACTCAGTCTTTAGTTCTTAATTGTAAAAGAAAGATTTTAAGGGATTGGGCACGTTTTTCAGGTGTTTTTGAGTTGCACGCCATATTGCAGCGCAATGTGTCTAACATCATCGATCATTCCGGCGTATGCTCTCCGGGTCATCGCGGAGGCGCGCGGTTGGCGGGCTCCCGTCACGTGATATGCTAATGCTCTTCGACGGGCGGAGTCAGCGCTCAGTTAAACGACAACCCCAAAGAAAAATTATTTCCATCCAATTCATCCAAAAATTAATGATCATGAGTTCGTATTTGATGAACTCTCCTGCTTATAGTGATCCCAAATTTCCGCCGACTGAGGAGTACTCACAGGGGAATTATATCCCAAGTCATGGTGGGGATTACTACACGCCGTCGCATCATCATCACCATCACCCCCACCATCAGCAGCATCCACATCATCAACATCACCCGCCGAGTCATCATCAACATCCCCAGCAACATCACCATCACCATCCCTATGCCGGATACCCATTGTCCGGCCCCGTTTCTTATGGACAAGAAAATGGAAGTCCCGTTTATGGGAGTCCCGCAGCGGGACAACATTATTATCGACAGCCGCCTCCATGCGGCATGGGGCCCGTTTCTCCCCTCTCCCGAACACCCACACTCCCAGTTGATCATGTACCCGCGACTAGCCTCAGCCCCGTGCCCCCGCCGGGCCCTCAGCAGCCATCGCAGCAACAGCGGTCGCCCGTTTCATCGCCGACACCACCGGGACTACAGAGAAATCCTCCGCCGTCACTTGGGGGACCTACTTCACCCGACTGTGCTATAGGTGGCGGCAATGGAGGCAGTCTGCCGGTAATTTATCCCTGGATGAAAAAAGTACATGTTGGGACAGGTAAGTCTAAGATTTATATCCCCTCCTCTGTCGAAAAACTTTTGGTGGGATATCAAGTACAGTTTAAATATTTATTTGTTGCTTAAAAAAAGAGGATCACTATTTAAAATATTAAAATGCATTATACGACTTACTTTCTTAAGCAAAGAAGCGATAAATATGAACAGAGTAATGATTGGGCCCCACTACACAATGCAAAAAAATTATCAAATATATATATTTCAGCTTACTGCATCCTCAAAATTTTCACCGAAAAAAAAGCTAAAAAAAAAGAAAAAAAATACTAGTAATAACTTTCTTTTATTGTGAGTTTATAACTAAGATAATTATCTGCTTGTCAATATGAAAATTTTAAGCTGAAATGCTAAATGAGATAAAAAAAAAAATCTTTTGTTGAAACTATCTTTTCCAAAATATACCCTAATTTTGGCGGGCAACGTTATAATTGCTAATTTTTTAATCACATTGAGAGCAACAGAAAGTTTTTTCCAAAAATTCTATCTAATAAAGAGAAAAAGGTTTTGTTTTTGAAAAATTTATAAAATACTTTTAAAATAAATTTGTAGTATTTGAAGCACTACAAGGAAAGAAAACCTCTCTTTGCATGTAATTCTCGCTCAATTTGACGTAATAAAAATCCTAAAATAGTTTTATCAGAAAGTTTGTATATTAAAAGTTCAAAAATAGCTGAAAAAGATGTAAAATTCACCGAAAAATCTGAATTTAAAATTTTTTTAATCCAAGCACTATATTTTAAACGAAGTATCAGAACTCAATTACAATAATTTTTAATTTGTCTATTATTTGAATATCAAATGATATATCAATGCCTACAGTTAAGATAATTCTTTTTTTTTTTACATTAAAAGTTAATACTTAAAATGCTTAGAAAACTGTAAAACTCTCACAAAAAATGTAAAATAATGAAAAAAATAAGTCAATAAATAACAAAACTGCCCATCCTTGTCCGTGACAATGAAAATAAATAAATGCAGCGATTTTCTGAACCATTTTTAAAATGTCCTTTTTCCTTGTCTTATAACATTCGTTTATTTAATGAATCGCTTCATTGGCGTCAATCGCTTCATTAAGAATGGATTAAAGGAAAATAATTAATCGCTCTTCATTAATTTGATTTCCGAACAAATTATTCGAATTACCTATTCAAAATTAACGTCACTCTTGTGTTTAGAAGTATTATAATATGGTCCTGTCATTTTATATTTATATGTACTAGAGTAGTACTAGACATTGTTTATAAAAAGGTGAGTCACGCTTGCATCATTGAAGACAATTATGTTATGAAATTTGTTCTACTGACTTATGATTTATTAGGAAGATTGAGGATGAAAGCTTATGACGATTTATAATAAAACAGTGTTTGATTTATTTATTATTTTTAAAAAAAAAAATGATTAAAGATTAAGTCTCAATTTTAATTAATTGCTATTATAACAATAATTTTTTTTTTTAAATAAAGAAAAGAATACTTGCATTTATTGGAGAGTATTGGAAAATTTGAATATATTGGTGTGAGCATTTTCAAGACAAATTTTAAAAAAAGTAATTTTTTCAAACTTTTGGTATCTTTTATCCAAATTTCGACGACAAAAAAGTAAATATTTATAAAGCTTATTTCAATTTATGATTTCCTATCATAATGAAGTATATTGTAAGAGGATTATCAATTGAGTAGACGAAATGAATAAATATTATTGTCAGTATTATAATTACATTGAAAATGTGCATTTTATGCTTTCCATTATAATTATTTTCTAACAATACTGTAATTCAATTCAGATAATATTTTAAAAGATTGATTATTATTGATTATTAATCAATTTTAATTAAAATGAATATAGTTATCAGAAATGCTGTTAAAAATAAGACAGGAAACGACACGGCTTCTTTTTCATTAAAAGCATAAAAAGCATGGAGGCGTTTTAGCACGCATTTTAAAAACTAAAATTGATCAAATTTCTACTATCAGTTTCGTTTATTTTACTGTGTGAATTACCATTTTTTTAAATACTAATTTTCAAATACTAATTTTTAAATGTTATTAATAATTTGTGATATTTTTTAATTTCTAGAAATATTTTTAAATTTTTACCATTTTCTTTATTTTATATTACGTTTATTTTATTCTGAATTATTGTAAACTTTAAAGCTTGCAATGTATTTTTCTAAACTTGTATGCTTTTAATGGGATCTGTTAACTAATTATTATTTGAATCGTATGATATTAATCCATTTGCGGTACCATATTACTTATTCTGAAAGATATTTTGGAATTTTGATAACTATAAAAGATATATTCGCTCCAATTCACTCCAATTTATTTTTAATAATCCACTTTATTGGAATAGCATTTTGTGAAGCATTTTTTAACTATTTTAAATCAAATTTAATTAATAGCATTTAAAAGTAGTTAATAAAAATATGTGAAATCAATTTATACGTATTATCTATTATTTAGTATATTTGTACTCTATAATAATTACAATAATTACAATATACAATTATTAAAATTATTAATTTATGCGTGTAAATATTTTTATACATTTATGTATTTAATTTGAAGGACTTGTATATACTGAAGATTTAATTTTATTTTGTGATAGTGTCAGAGTCTTTTTCAATTAATTTGATTCATTTAAGTAAAGTGGCTCATTCAGATGTTTTTAAACATTTTTAGATATGTGTGTTCTACAATGAATTAATGAATAATATTAATTATATCAGTATATATTTTAAGATTTTTTAGCTGTACATTATCCATCTACAATTAAGAAATTATCTATGATTTAAGTACAATTAAGTAATTATCATTCGTGAACAATGCAGTAATGTTAGAATGTCACCAAATTGTATGTCTTTACAATCATTTAATTAATAGTCATTCAATTTGAATTATTAAAAATAAAAAATTGCTAGAATAGACATATACAATTATAAATACATTGAATATTTTGACTAACAACAAATAGAAAGAAAAAATCCTTAAAAAGTTATCTATAGCTCATGTTTGCTTTATTCGCTAAATTTAAAATTCTTAAAAAGTTCTTAATAATTCTTAGATTAAAATTCTTTAATATCTTTTTCGAACTGTCAATTCACTTTTATTTGCTTCCTTGCTCTTTAACTGATTGATTATTCCTCTGTTCAGCTTAAACACACACATGCAGTATATGTTACAAACAAATTAAATATATTTCAATTAAGAAAATACTGAAAAATGGCAGTTCAATTTCTATGTACGATTTAACAAATATATATTTAACAAATATATACGATTTAACAAATATAATTTTTTTAAAAAAATNTGTCAGCTTAAACACACACATGCAGTATATGTTACAAACAAATTAAATATATTTCAATTAAGAAAATACTGAAAAATGGCAGTTCAATTTCTATGTACGATTTAACAAATATATATTTTATAATTTTTTAAAAAAAATACTAGTTTTAATTTTAATAATCTTTAATACAATTCAATGTTTCAACTACTTGAGACTCAAGAAGCAAAACTGTCAGATCAACAGTTTAATAATGATGAAATAATATTGAAGATGTTCAACCTTTTAGGTTTCAGTTTCATTAAAATTGGACTAAATAAATTTTCACATTTTTTATAATATATAGTTTTTGGTGACACAGAAAGTTTTCAACTAAACACGAATGCTAATACTACAAATACTATACTGAGTTGAAAAATTAAAATTTTTATTAATATTTTTACATTTATTTAATACTTCTCAGATATTTCCTACTTGTAGAACACAATAATATAAAAACGTTTCTCGTCTTTAAGAGTAAATATTTACATCCGAGCATCATAAATTAATTCAATTAAAATTTAAGAGCAATAAAAGCGTTTGAAATACCTCTGATTATATTTTTAAACATGAAATTTAAAATTTATAATTTTTAATGTCGCTTTTTAATTTTAATGTAAAGAGTGGCATTCATGCAATCAATTTTTTCCCTAAATTAATAGCTAAATTTGCGATAGTTTGTAGTTTCATCTACTTTTACAGCACCTAAAAATGCTTTTAGTTATAAGCTTTTTTGGGGGGTTGTGATAAAAAGACAACTTTCGATAGTATTTATGTTTAAATTTATTATCTTTAACAACTTTTTTCACGAGAAGAAGTTTAAAAATTTTTAAAAACACTTTTACTTTGACCAATTTCAGAATATATTAGGATTCTGCAGAAATTAATAACTGCATTGAATTTTTCCTAATTTAAACTTTTAAAAGCAATTATTTTTTAAAAAAAATATTATTATCTTCATTTTTATTAGCACTCACTATGCTCAAAAACTTTTGATTTTTAATAAATGAAATATTAAAACTAGAGTCCTATGGTTTTTACAAATGCGGATATCCTCTTTACCCTTCCGGATCTTTAATTTGATTTTATTACATGCCTTTTTTTATTAAAAGGTTTTTTATTAAAGCAGTTTAGACATATTATTAAAAGGTTAAATTAAGTTTTAAAATCTAATAAAAAAATTTTAAAGCTTTATACTTCTTATTGAATTTTAACTTCTTCACATTTCAAGTTTGCAGCAATATTCTAAATTTAAATAAATTTTATATGTGATGATTATCTAATTAATAAAATAGGATTTTTTTAATAGTAAGATGATTTTAGAAAAGTGTAAAAAAATTACAAATTGAATTTTATTTCTGGCAAATCGAATTACGTTATAATTCATTTGACTATAATTACGATTTATTTTATTATGATTTATGATATTAACATTTACATATTTTAATATTTCATAATTGCTAATGATATTTTCAATTATGCAATTATATTTTTAGATGGTTCAAAGTTTAACAAAATAAATTAGTTTATAAAAATTGAGTTTTAACCTCACTTATAAAGCTTCTTGGTCTTTTCAATGCCCTTTATTGTTTCAATATTAAAAGAAATAATAATTGCAACATATTTTACTTGTAATTTATTTAAAAGTTAGTTTCATTT